CAGAACACAAAAAACTTTTCGGCAAGGGGATGTTGAGAATACAATAGAAAACAGGATTAGAAAACAGTAGTATCAATTAATCAGTTTTACGATACTAACTATTAAATCCAACTATAATTCTACAGTTATTAAAACCCTCCTTGAGTTGTTTAAGGAGTAATACATTACAGCTAGAGAAATCATTAATTTTCCAAAACAAATAAGGAATGAAAAAGCACTTGTATACACATTTTATAATGTTAACCGTAACACTCTATGAACTTCCACTGGTAAGGTCTGCGCCAAGAATTTGGATTATGATAGTAAACTTTGGTTTGTAAATCTATCCACTCTAAGATTTAATTCTCGAGTATTATGATAGTAAACTTTTTTAAGGAGGAAATTATTTTGTCATAAACTGGTTCAAAATTTGCAGTACGGAGTTTATCCAAACTCGCTGAGCATGAAGATCTTTCGCTGGGGAATTTTGTCAAATATATAAGTGGCATCGAAGTTCTTCTTCTTTATCGGTATCTTTGTCCTAGATGGAAATTTTCACAGAGCAGAGAAGTACTACAGAAAACTCAAAATCCATATACAAATGAAAAATTGGAGAAATTTAAAAATAAATGCAATAGCAAAGGCTAGACGTAGTTGGAGCAAGTAAAAGAAAATATACAGGATGAGTGACAAAGAGAGAGAGAGAAAAATTCCTTCGTAACTTGAAAATTTGAACACCAAAAAGACCAAAATTTTCCATGTGGATTAGTGAAGATTTTTGGTGAAGATTTCTGATAAGTTCCACTAGGAGTTCTATCTCTTTTAAACTCTTGAAGAACAGTTGAAGAATATTGGGGTTGGAGGACCCGTTGTTAGGATCGAAAAATCAGGTGTCATGCGGAAGCTAATAACGTAAACCTTGAACGACGATGATATATCAAAAGAGACATAAATATTTAACGTGGTTCGGTCAGGACCTACGTCCACGGCGGAGATAAGCAATCCACTATATTAAAAAGAGAGTACAAAATATCGAGAGAACAACCTCAGGAAAAGGCAAACACAAGTGACACGCTAACACTTGTCCCATAAAGTTCTCCCCCTAAACAAGACTCTCAAGCCTTTACATTGTGGATGCTACTGAATGAGAAGGAAGGATCCTCAATTTATAGAAGTCCAAACATTTTCCTACAAGAAAAAGGACTAGCCAAATATGGAAGAATTTATAATTTTCTTTTACAAAAAGGAAAACCGAATTAAGGTAATTATATTGCCTTTTTCCTTCAAAAGATAGGAAAAACAAATATGGTAAGAAAATTATGGCAAACACCTAACAATTCTCCCCCTTGGCCTGAATTTTCTGACAAAATAAACTTGATCCACCTTCTTCACATAGCCTTCAATAGGCCGCATCTCCAAATCTCCACCACAAAGTTTGTCTCAACGCGCGTAGCACACCGGTCAAATTTCTCAAACAAAAATCACGATTATCGTCAAATATGTCGCGGCTAGAACTGAACCCGCCAAGATGAACCTGTGTTGAACCTTGCTCTGATACCACTTGTTATGTCCGGAAATTCAGGCCAAGTGGGAGGATTGTTAGGTGTTTGCCATAATTTTCTTACCATATTTGTTTTTCCTATCTCTTGAAGGAAAAGGGCAATATAATTACCTTAATTGGGTTTTCCTTTTTGTAAAAGAAAATTATAAATTCTTCCATATTTGGCTAGTCCTTTTTCTTGTAGAAAAAGGTTTGGACTTCTATAAATTGAGGATCCTTCCTTCTCATTCAGTAGCATCCACAATGTAGCCATAGAAGGCTTGAGAGTCTTGTTTAGGGGGAGAACTTTATGGGACAAGTGTTAGCATGTCACTTGTGTTTGCCTCTTGTTCTATCTCTCCCCCGGTCTTCTATAACCAAGATATCTGCTTGTGAGGACGAACCCTGAGATTTTCTACTTACTTCCTCGTTCAACACACCACTCTTGGCATATTCCATGGTCACCTTACCTCCGGGAGCTGAATTTGTCAAAGAAACACGAAGAGTTTCCCAAGAGTCTGGCACAGTATTAAGAAGCCAAAGTCCTTGTATCTCATCATCAAAATTAACTCCCATTCCAGATAGTTGATCAAGGACGCCCTGAAAATCATTTATGTGACCAAGGATAGGGTTGCCTTCCTTGTATTTAAAGGTCATCAATTGCTTTAGCAGAAATAATTTGTTGTTCCCGGTTTTTGAAGCATAAAGAGTCTCTAGATTTTCCCACAATGATCTCGCATGTATCTCATTCACAATATGGTTGCGAACATTATCTTCAACCCATTGTCGTATATATCCACATACTTGTTGGTGCTCGAAATCCCAATCTTCATCGGATATACTTTCGGGTTTATGAGCTGAAAAACGGGTAGATGCATCTTCTTCACGAACAACAAGTCTTTCATCTTGCTTCTCCAAACATTATAATTTCTCCCATTTAAACATACCATCTTGCTCATATTCGCCTCCATTCCGTAACAATCCGGATAAATAACCAAGGCTCTGATACCACTGTTATGTTGAGAAAGAGGCAAACCCGAAAATAAAGAAGATAAAGAACACCAAATTTTAACGTGGAAAACCCTTCAAATCGAAGGTAAAAACTACGGGATCACAAAGATCCAAAAAAGCTCCACCATAACAATAAGAGGGTTACAAAAGTTCTCCAAATTGGCTATACAACAAGGGCCAAACACGGAGCAACAATAGCAACAAGAGCAACAACTAATTATGGCAAACACCTAACACCCATATCTATGTAGAAAGTCCTGGTTCTTGTTAAGTTTATTTTTAGCTTACCAACTCTAAGTATTTTGCCTATGGAAATTTATCATTACACATTTTCTAATAAGTAGCTTGAGTTTTCATCTCGAAGAATACAAATCAGCAACCTTACGCTGTACTATAAGACCAATTCATCTCCAGAACAGCAAAGCCACACAGCAAACAACCTTTGTAAATATACTCACACTTGTTTGTCAGAAGATTAGACCCAAAATCCAAATTACAACTACGCCTCAAAATAGAAATATCAAAATGATTTAAATTTAGTTAGTTTATTAAAATAAGGGGAAAACGTAGATAGATTATGAATTTTTGTTGTTGTTCTTTTAGATTTTGAGAAGAAAAAAAATGCAAACTGGTTGATTTGGTTTGAGGTGTGACATCTCTGAGTCTCCAATCAACGGTACCCTTAACAACTGATCAATATTCGGAGACAACAAACAAAAACAGTTAACATTCGATGTTCGAAACCCTAAAATTCACCTAAATGTTATAGTAATATGAATAGCTTCAAGGTCAAAGTGAATTGACAAAAAAACCGAATCATTTTAGTTTATTCTTTTAGTTGTCCTAATACAAATTGAGGTATATCCGGTTATATTTTGGATCAGAAGGGGTACTTTAGTAACATCAGTGCTTCTTGCTTCTGTAGCTGAAAAAGGATAGCTGTTCACTCAAAATTTTATCCTGATTTGGTGCGTTGTTACTTGAGTTGCCATTATACATTTTTGGTAATTAAGGCAACTTTGCAGGCCCTTAAAAGTGTACAAAATGTCATCCATCACTTTTTGCTTTGCATGTGATGCTAAGTCAAAAATTACCACGTGGACTGCCAACATGTGCACATATTTTTTCTTTTGGCGACATATACTAAAATTTGTAAAATAGCATAGTACTGCAGTATTAGGAAAAAGAAAAAAAGAAAATCCAATGACGATATTTCATGTGAAAAAGGAAAATGAAAATAGAATATTAGTAGTAAATTTATGTTTTTGGAATATATATTATATAAGAAAAGAGTAATCTGATTAGAAAATAACATAGGTTCATTTAAAATTCACGATATTACTATTCAAACTATAATAACTTTACTATCTTCATGATTATTTTGAAGGTCAAGTAAACATTTTAAGGTTCAATTGCACAAATAATTATCTTTAATTCAAGCACTTAATAAGAAAAGTCTCTAAAAAGAAAGAGTACAACTGGTATTCTTTTAGAAGTATTTGTTTCTATATTTGCAGGTCCACTTTTAATGTAACACGTGATTTTCCTTATGCTAGAAGAGGTCATCTCATCTTATTTAAAACTATTAGCAAATGAATTATCAACGGAAAAAGTGCAAATTCTTTAGCTATTCACAAGTTGATGAGGTTTAAATAAATTAGGGTCTTTTTTTTCTCTTACATTTAACTACTTATTATTTTGCTAAAAAAATTTATTGGAAATTTTAAATTAGAATATAAGGAAAAAACAAACACACAAAAAAAAAAAGAAGCAAGCTAATGAAATATTGGAAACCTTTTTATATCTTTTTCGCTGATGTTTAATTCCAACAATAAAGATCCATATAATTTTTATTAAATAAAGATCCATATAATTTTTTTATCTTTAACTATATTATTTAAATTAATATAAATAATTTTTACAAAATAACTAGAGAAATAAAATTAAGGAAATTATTTTTGTAATTAAGTGTACGTTGATGAAAAATTCAATCAGCAAATCAAAGCTTAATGAAACAGAAGAAATTACTGTATCTTACATAGTTGAACATCATCCATTCGCAAAAATAGTCACCAACAAAGGTGAATTTATAGGATAAGAAGAGGATCAGTTAGAGGAGATGAAAATGTTTGTAATTGAAATGTAATTTATAATGGTTAATTAAGAGATATGTCTTTTCAGTTTTTTGATATAGCACATAAAGTTTTGCAACTGATATAAAATAATAAGGCTTGTAACTGATTACAAAAATATAATGTTTAATGAAGAGCCATGTCTTTTGGGTATTTTGATAAATAACATATTATTACTTACTCTTTAGAAATGGGAATCGGCAGCAGCTTCCGGTCAACGTGATTTTACCAAAAAAACCATTAAATCTCACTTTATTCCTGTTTTACCCCTAATCCTCAATATAGCGTTGCGTTGAAAGATTATAAAAAAACCCTACACTCTTCTGCGCTTACAAAATAAGACACGTTTTTCTTCCCGCTCTGACGCGTGGGTGTTTAGCAAACTTTTGGCGCCTCTGTTGTTCATCTTCATCTTGCCACCGCTTTCTCTGTTTTTCTCTAACTTCCTCCTCTGTTCTCTTCGTTCTGTTATAAATTTTCATCTTTATCTATCCTTTATCTCCAGTCTTTATTATAAATTCCCAACTTTTGGATTTTTGTTCTACTATCGATAACATATCTACTCTTTCTGATTCTTTACATAGAGGATTGGGTTAGTTGGAGTTCTTTGCTTCTTGATTAAAAAAGGGTAAGTTTTTTATTTGATTGCTTTCTTTTTTACAGTTTGACTGCCTCAGCTGCCTGTTGTTTATATTATGTAAAAGTTGATACTTCAAAAAATTTTTTTGTAGCTCGTGGGAATTGAACCCATGATCTTATGTAAATTTTGAACCCCCTTGTGACCACTAAACTACACTTTTGGATTGTGTTAAGGGTGTTCAAAACTTAATATATAGAGGTAAAAAATAGATTTTGCCTTATATATACAATGTAATTTTTCGGCGAAGGGTGTGAACACACTTGCGCCCCCTAAATCCGCCCCTGGATACTGATGTCAACTACCAAAAAAGCTTAGAACTCACTAACCTTTATGAGCTAGAAATTCAATGAGGATATTCTGCTTAGTAAGACAGTTCGTTGGAAAAGAGTGAAAAAAAATGGTGGAATATTGACAAAGAATGAGAGTCACTTTTTGTGTATCACCGGATTGAAGGGTAAATCCAAGTTCGAGGTAGAACAATGACTCACGCTCATTTTCCACAGATAGTAACTTTTAAGATTGTTCTTTTAGCTATTGCCATAAATTACAAATTAGTGCACTTATTCAGTAGTGTACCAAAGTAGAGTCTCTCGACGGAGAACAACTTATACATTAAATTCAATTGAATTTCGATGTCTGTTTGGTTAAATTTTCAATTGACCCGGACTTCCTCTTTTTTAACTTGGCTTAACTGAAGTTCAATGTCAACATAAGGTACGCAAAGAAACTTAGGTAACAAACTATAAGTGAATAATGGGTGATGGGACAGTGATAGAATCCCTTTATCCACAGTTATGTAGAATCTTCAACCTTCCGCTTAAAATTTAAAAGTACTGCCTATAGGTTTTTCTTTTTTTCTTTCCCCTGTCTTGCTTTTTATCACACCAAGTGGGTAATGACTTATCCTGGAAACAACGAAATGAATTTTGTGTTACTTCATCTAATACTTCACCTATTTGGATATTTTTTATAATTTACAGTTTATATGAGAAGATGGACGCTCTTTGGGTTATCTTAGCTAAAATAAACTACGACTAATTTATCGTAATTTATTGTGTTAATATTAAGTATTCAATATTTTATAATGGTATGTTTAATAATCATACGTGTTTATAACAAAATAAATATGGTGAAATAGTTGTATCGTCTTTTACTCATTATAGTTAATTGTTGTTTTCCTGTATCTTTGCTATTTGATAAAAAAAATCATAATTCTACTATTGTATAACGATGTTTAGAACAATCGAAGTACCAATAGTTGCAATAAAATCAGATTAATGGATAGTCGACAATCCAAAAGACGCCTCGCTCTGTGACAGAAGCTCATGATGAGAATATCAAACACCATAAAATAGACGATTCTTTGGGAATGACTTTGAGAGAAGAAAAGTTATTGCAACGACGCCTGAAAATTCGCGAGGCAACAACTAAACGCCTTCTTGCAACTACAAATAATATCAATCGCATTGGAACAACATCTCATATAGATGATAATGTTAATACTGGACTGTCTTGTTCCTCTTCACAAACAGGTTAGAACATCAAATGCTCTATCCTTTTTGTTGCTTCTATAATACATGCATACATAATTATTATAACTCATCTTTACGAGCATGATCATTATTTTTGACCATGCAGTTACTGAGTGTCGAGCTTTTTCTTCATCCGATGTCTTTGACAAAGAAAAAGATATGATCCAGCCTTTTCATGTTTTTGAAAAAGGTAAAACCACAAAAATGTAGTATCTATTTAACTTATGTGTGTATTGTGCATATTAATTAATCGATAACTATTATGAACCAGGTTCAACATCGGGTACCACAAATGATTCATGTACTCCAACCTTTGAAACAGTTACAACTAAAGGTCAGTTTAACGATCATCCTTTATTGATTTTATCGACCGTTCTATTTTCATCTCTCACAATTAATTATCTGCACTATGTAGGCCGTCGCGTAAAGAATAAGAGAACTACGATTAACATTAACCAATTACGCTCTGATTATGTTCCGTTAAAAAAGATTCCAAACTGCTTATTCTGCTATGCGAAAAGATTTCAGTATGAACCCCCTGGATTTTATTGTGGCAGTGGTACAGTGAGATTAAGCTCTCATCGAATGCCAACTAAACTGAAAAATTTATATATGGGAAACAGTGCAGAATTCAGGCATTTTCGAACATATGTTAGAACATATAATAATCTGTTTGCTTTTACATCACTTGGTGTCAGTTATGATAAAGATTTGGCCAAGAGAAACCGTGGTATATACACGTTTAGAGTTCAAGGACAGATCTATCATTTGATAGATGATTTATATCCCAAAGAAAGAAGGCCAAAAAATTTGCAACTGTACTTTTATGATAATGCAAATGAGCTTGAAAATATAATGGCTTGTTCAGACATATTAAATGAATCAATAGTGAAAGAATTGATGGACATACTAAAGGATAATCCGTACTCAATATTTCTACGATCCTAGGTAGACATGTCAAACTTGCAAAACTTTCATATAGCACCGAAAAGTGATGCTGGATTGGATCAACGCGTATATAATTTACCTACTACTACTGAAATTGCAGCAATATGGGTTGATGAAAATGATGGTTCTACTACTCATGCACCACATCTTCAAATTTATACTCACAATGATAGGACACAAAGAGTGCACTACTATTTTGGATGTTATGACCCTTTACAGTACCCGTTGTTATTTTCATATGGTCAAGGCGGATGGCATTGTGGTATTAAAAAGTTTCCCAAAGAAAAAATATTCGTAGAAGTCGCACTCTGGTTGAATTTGAACAATTGCCGAGTATAAAAGATTTCACATCTGTTGATGGATATCTTGATATAGAAGCTCAAAATCTGCAAAAAGGAAAATGCAAAAGAGATGCAGTTTCAGTTCGCGAATACTATTGTTACAAACTTCAGATGAGAAACGATGATGAGAAATTTTGCATACAGGAAGATTACTCCAGCAGTATTCAGTAGATGAATATATAAAATTGGAGACACAAAGATTAGACTTTGTTTCATTCAATCAAGATTTATTCAGAATGGGTATACTGCAAGGACTTCTTGATATTGTAAGACTTGGTGAACGAAATGCTTCTAATGTTGGAAAACAAAACTTTCTGCCAAATTCTTTTATAAGGTCCTAGAGATATGCGTCAGCGTTATATTGATGCTATTGCATTAGAGCAACATTTCGGAAAACCTGATTTGTTTATAACTATGACATGTAACCCATCTTGGACGGAAATAAAAGAACATCTATGGTCAACTGACGAGGCACAAAATAGACTTGATTTGATTACTCGAGTGTTCAAGGCTAAAATAGAAGAACTGAAGACGGATATATTAAAACGAAATATCTTTGGAAAAGTTGTTGCTTTTATGTATACTGTGGAGTTTCAGAAACGAGGTTTACACCATGCTCATTTTCTTATTATACTAGGTAATGAGCACAAACTGCTGACAACAGAGGCATACGACAATATTATTAGAGCAGAATTACCAGATGATAAGACAGAATCAGATTTGCATAAGCTTGTCATCAAACATATGATGCACGGTCCTTGCGGTAGTTTAGACCCAACAAATTCTTGTATGAAAAAAAAGGGTTACTGCACGTTCAAATATCCAAAAATGTTTGCCGATCAGACAATAAAAGGAAACGATTCTTATCCAGTCTATAAAAGACAAAATACAGGGGAAGTTGTGAAAGTAAGAGAACGATATTTAGATAACTCCTGGGTTGTTCCATACAATCCAGATTTACTTGGAAAATTCAATTGTCATTTAAATGTTGAAGTTTGCTCTGACATCAAGGTCGTGAAATATCTCTACAAATACATTTGTAAAGGACATGATAAGATTGCGTTTTGTGTACAAAATAACGATACAAACATAGAAATAGATGAGATAAAAGAATATCGATCTGCTAGATGGGTATCACCTCCAGAAGCTGTTTGGCGTCTCTTTGGTTTTCCAATAAGTGAAATGTCTCCCAGCGTTTATCGTCTTCAACTACATCTTGAAGGTCAACAATTTATTTCTTTTAAGAGCAATGCGGATATACATACAATTCTGAATAATCCGATGATTCAAAAAACAATGTTAACAGAATTTTTCTCCATGAACGAAACTAATGAAGATGCTAAAGAGCTCAACTTACTGTATAAAGAATTTCCTGAATACTTTGTGTGGTCCTCCAGTGATAAATTTTGGGCACTTAGACAAAAGCGTTGTGCTATTGCCCGCATTGTGACATGTCATCCAACAGAAGGAGAACGATATTATCTTAGATTACTACTAATGCATGTACGGGGACCGACATCATATAAGGATCTTTTGACAGTGAATGGAGAGCCTTGTAGTACTTTCAGAGAGTCCGTAGAAAAAAGAGGATTGTTACAATGTGATAATAGTTTGACAGAGTGTATGTTTGAAGCTGCAAGTTACCAAATGCCATATAGTTTAGAGAGAATACATAAAGTACCCATTAAACTTGTCCGGAAAAATCATTTACACACCTAAACTTTACGGGCGACCTTTTACCCCACTATTCTAAACTTAAGTGAATTTAATACCCCCTTCAGTGATGACCTGGCACAAGACGTGTAGTTCACTTTGTAGCTGCGCGTGAAGGCAAAAAAAAAATTAACTTAAAACTTATTCAGTGGTCCAGGTGTCACTTTCCAATGGGATATTATAACTAATTAACTTAATATTATTTTTTTCTCTTTTCTTATTCATTTTTCTTTTCTTTTTCATTTTTTCTTTCTCTTTCTTCATTCATTATCCATTTCTTCATTCATTATCCATACCCTTTTAAAAAACGAAAATATTATGTTAAAAAACAAAAAATATTTTTTTTTTCTGTTTTTACAAATTTGTTTTTCCAGTTTTTACAAAAAGAAAATCTTTAAAAAAATTGAAAAACTGAAAAAAAAAAACATTTTTCAAAAAACGAAAATATTTTGTTGGAAATATTTTTTTCAGTTTTTAAAAAACGAAAATATTTTGTTAAAACTAATTGTTTTTTTCAGTTTTTACAAAAAAAATATTTTGTTAAAAAAACCATTTTTTTCAGTTTTTACAATTTGTTATGCAAAATTTTTTCAGTATTTAAACTGAGTAGATACAATTTTTTCAGTTTTTAAACTGAGTAGATACTGAAAAGATTTTGCAAAACAAATTGTAAAAACTGAAAAAAATAGATTTTTTAACAAAATATTTTTGTTTTTTAAAAACTGAAAAAAATATTTCCAACGAAATATTTTCGTTTTTGAAAAATGTTATTTTTGTCAGTTTTTTTAAAGATTTTCTTTTTGTAAAAACTGAAAAAACAAATTTGTATAAACTGAATTTTTTTTTGTAAAAACAGAAAAAAAAAAATTCGTTTTTAACAAATATTTTTCGTTTTTTTAAAAACTGAAAAAATTATTTTCAACAAAATATTTTCGTTTTTGAAAAATATTTTTTTCATTTTTTTAGTTTTTTAAAAGAATTTTGTTTTGTAAAAACTGGAAAAAACAAATTTGTAAAACAGAATTTTTTTTTTGTTTTTAACATAATATTTTCGTTTTTTAAAAACTGAAATTAAAAAAAAAAACTGGAAAAAAATGAAAATAGGGGTCTTTATGCGCGTGTAAACACAGCCACCACAAGACTGGTTCAGTATTTTGAAGGGGGTATTAAATTCACTTAAGTTTAGAATAGTGGGGTAAAAGGTCGCCTGTAAAGTTTAGGTGGGTAAATGATTTTTCCGGACAAGTTTAATGGGTACTTTATGCATTTTTTCTATAGTTTAAGGTGTTTATTTGCTACATTATTGGAAAATTGCAACCCTGTCAACCCCAGAAAATTATGGGAGCAATTTGAAGAATCAATGATCGAAGACTACAGAGTGTTACAAATTACTGAAAGAAGAGAAATATGATATCAAGCTTTGAATCATATCAACGATATTTTACATTCTATGGGTCATGATATAAATGAATATGAACTCATTCCAGAAACTATTAGGCCTTCTACGGCAGCAAGAGAAGCAAAAGAGATTCATTTTGAAAGATCTATTATTGTCAGTGAAGACGACATACTGTTACATAGGAAATTGAACGAAAATCAACTCATTGCATATAATCTGATTACTGAAAGGATATTTTCGAATAAAGCAGGTGCCTTTTTTATAGATGGTCCCGGAGGAACAGGGAAAACTTTTTTATATCTTGCTTTATTGGCAACTGTACGATCAATGGGATATATAGCTTTGGCAACAGCTACTTCTGGTGTTGCTGCTTCTATTCTTCCAGGTGGACGTACTGCACATTCACGTTTCAAAATCCCTACTGACATCGATGAAAATACCAGTTGTAACATTAGCAAAGAAAGCTCACTTGCAGGGTTAATCCGAGATGCAAAATTGATTGTGTGGGATGAGGTATCTATGGCCAAAAGAAGAATGTTAGAAGTTTTTGATCTACTGTTAAAAGATCTGATGAATACAAATGCATTATTTGGCGGAAAAGTTGTAGTTTTTGGAGGTGATTTCAGACAGACTCTTCCTGTTGTGCGATACGGAAAAAAAGAAGATTTCATTGGCGAAAGTTTGTTATATTCTAGCATTTGGAGTGAACTTGAAAAATTAAAGTTATCTGAGAATATGAGAGCTAAAACAGATTCTGCATTTTGTGATTATTTGCTAAGAATTGGAAATGGACAAGAACGAGTGAACTCAGCAGATAAGATTGAAATTCCATATTCTCTGGACTATGAGGACCTCTGTATTCATCCAGTTGTGGATATGCCAGCAGGATACAAACCCCCAAAGTTCGATATCTTCGATAGGACGGGGGGCCCTCCTGCACATTTGAGGGCATATTATGACAAGTTGGTCGGAGTGGGGAGGAACGAGAAGCTAAGAATGAAATTATTTACAAGAAATTTTACGGGAGAAACACTCACCTGGTATACTCGACAGGATCTGCAAAATTGGAGAACTTGGCAAGGTATGGCAGAGGACTTCATGAATCATTTTCGATTTAACACAGAGATCACTCCTGATCGATTCGCACTGGTAAACCTGTAAAAAAAACCATCCGAATCATTCCAAGAATATGCACGACAGTGGAGGTTAGAGGCCTCCAGGGCACAACCTTCGCTAGACGACAGTGAATTAACCAAGTATTTCATCAGAGCCCAGGAAGGGATATACTTTGAAAAGATGATGGGACAAAAATTCCCCGAGCTGGTCAAGATGGGAAATTTCCTAGAAGAAGGCATTAAATTTGGTAAAGTACAATCCATGGCAGCGCTGCAAGCGGCCAGCAAGACCATCCAATCAGGGGTAATCGGCAGCGGAAAGAAAAAGAAAGAGTAGGTCTCAGCAGTAGTCATATCACAGAAGCACATCCAATTCCACAAACAACCATTCACCACCACCCACTTACACTCCAGTCTATAACACCAAGCCATATTACCACCCTCAACTACAATACAACCCTCATCGAGCCAACAACAACCAAACCTCCCAACAACCATATGCTCATGTCCAAACTACTACTTACCAAACTCTACCTACTTATGCACTACGCCCTCGTCCCAACTTTTAAGAGAGGGGTCCTAGAACTTATACCCCAATTGCTGAGCCTCTGGCCCAATTGTTTGAGAGATTGAGAAGAGCAGGATTGATACACCCAGTTGAAAGAAGGGTTCCTGAACATCCTTCCAAGTATTTTGATGCCACTAAAATACCATTTCAATGTACCTAGGCATGATACTAAAGATTGTTTTAAGCTAAAAAATGAGATTGAAACCCTAATCAAGAGCGGAGCCATCTAGTGCACTCTGGCACTACCCAATGTGAATCGTAATCCACTGCCAAATCACCGAAACCAGGGAGCTAACATGATTACATTAGACGTAGAGTATGACCTAAAGGGAATAATTGTCACTATAGGGAATGCAGAAGCCACCGGGATCCCTCCTCTACAATTATTACGGTACAATTGAGGCCTACAATGACGGTTCAGACTTATATGCAGCAACCTGCCGCTGCTACAGGAGACGAAGAAAGTGGGGAATACAAAACTGTCCCATGGACATACCAGCAAAAGGGAAAGGCCAAAATGACTGACTCTGTCGTAGCCCATGGTATGACTTGGTCTGGGAGATGCTACGCTTCTGAAGATGTCAATCGAGGAAACTCGGGAAAGGAGCAAATTCAAAGAAGGAACATAACAGACCAGAAGCCGCCGAGTTTTGGAAAAGAATGTCAAGCAAAGAGTATTATGTGGAGGAGCAGCTAAAGGAAACTCCAGCGCAAATATCAATCATGGGTCTATTAATGAGTTCTGGCAGTCATAAGGACGCAGTTGAAAGTACTAAGTGGGGTAAGTGTACCAAGTAACACCACTAGTGAAGCGCTGGCCGCAACAATTGGGAAAATTGTCGAAGCAAATTCGTTGTATTCTAATTCATCCTGTATAGATTTCCGTGTGATCTTGACAACAAAAAATGATTTCGTTGATGAAATTAATGACATGCTTATTGATCGATTCGCAGGAAAATCAAAAATATTTATTGCTACTGATGAGGCCGTTGAATTTAACAACCAAACACAACTTGAAGATCTACTACACACTTTAAATCCTCGTGGTTTGCCTCCTTACAAATTATGTTTAAAAGAGAATTGTCCAACTATATTATTACGAAATCTAAATCCATGTGAAGGTTTATGTAATGGTACGCGATTGACCTGTTGTGATTTTAAAAATCATGTTATTAGCGCTAAGATCACGGTAGGTGATTTCAAGAATATGCATGCGTTTATCCCAAGAATACCATTATTATCATTACAAGATGAGAAAACGCCTGTTCAGTTCAAAAGAACACAATTTCCTGAACACAATTTCCTGTTAGATTATGCTTTGCTATGACTATAAATAAAGCACAAGGTCAAACTTTAGATTTTGTTGGAATTTATTTGCGGGAACCTGTATTTTTACACAGTCAGCTTTATGTTGCCTTATCAAGAGCAAAGAGTTCAAATTGTGTAAAGTTGTTGATTCGGCCATCGACGCCAACTAGCCATGACGATCATTCTACCTCTAATATCGTTTACGAACAAATCATTAAGAAAGCAGGTGCCTGAGCATCGACATATGATTCTTCGGGAGGTCCTTTGCTCTTTCCTTCTCTTATTATCCCGTGTGCACATTTTCTGATATTTTCATACATCCTCTGCTTTGGGTTTTCAATCTGTTAATGCTTTAATCTTAATTTTTGTCTATTTCAACTCTATCAAAGTGTAATAAGACTTGATTCCAAAAGGTCCTTATGAGGCGATTCTCATCCTCACCATTTATGTGCGAAAATTTTGATGAAATAAGCTTTTTGGAATTTAAAAACTGAAAGGTTTTCACCTTAGTTCAAGAAATGATTTTGTAAAACAAACAGAACATAGAGTACTTATTTCGCTGGAATTTTACTATGGTCACCAGCAGATAGCACTTTTGATGTCTTATCTTTTGATGTCTTATTAATTCTTATTTGTATGAGTCAGAATCCGACCCCACGATAATTAACGAGGCTAATCCCGTTGTAAGTTAATTCATGATTAATTAGTGGCACGACCACTCAGAATTAATTATATTCAACCCTCATCTGATTCGATCAACAAGGCCACGGCCCATCCGCC